AGTAGAGGGATCAGTGCTACGGGCTATGGGTTCACTGGCAGCTGCAATGCCGTGGACACTGGGTTCACTGGAAAGTGCAGTGCCGGGGACACTGACTTCACTGGAGGGTGCAATGCTGTGGGCACTGGGTTCACTGCAGGCTGCAGTTCCCTGGCACTGGGTTCAATGCAGGATGCAGTGCCGTGGGCCCTGGTTTCACTGGAGGCTGCTGTGCCGCAAGCACTGTGTTCACTGGAGGGTGCAGTTCCGCGGGCTCTCGTTTCGCTGGAGGCTGCAGGGCCGCAGGCACTGGGCTCACTTGTGGCTGCAGGGCCATGAGAACTGGGCTCACTGGAGGCTACAGTGCCACCATACTGTGCTCCCTGGAGGCTGCATTTCCACGGGCACTGGGCTCACTGGAGGCTGCAGTGCTGCAGGCACTGGGCTCACTGGAGGCTGCCATGACGTGAGCACTGGGCTCACTGGAGGGTGCAGTGCCGTGGGCTCTGGGTTCACTGGAGATTGCAGTGCTATGGGCACTGTGCTCATTGCAGGCTGCAGTGCCGGGAGAACTGGGTTCACTGGAGGCTGCAGCGCTGAGGGCCCTTGGTTCACTGGAGGGTGAAGTGCCGCAGGCACTGTGTTCACTGGAGGGTGCAGTGCCACGAGCACTGGTTTCACAAGATGGTGCAGTGCCGCGGGCACTGGGTTCACTGGAGGGTGCAGTGTGGCAGGCACTGCCTTCACTGGAGGGTGCAGTGCCGTGGGCAGTGGGTTCACTGGAGGCTGCAGTGCAGTGGAACTGGGTTTACTGCAGGCTGCAGTGCCCCGGGCACTGGGTTCACTGCAGGATGCAGTGCTGTGGATGCTTTTTTCACTGGAGTGTGCAGTGCCACGGGCCCTGGGTTCAGTAGAGGTTGCAGTGCTGCGGGCTCTGCATTCACTGGAGGCTGCAGTGCCACGGGCACTGGGTTGACTGCTGGCTGCAGTGCCCCGTGCACTGGGTGCACTGCATGATGCAGTGCCACGGGCACATTGTTCACTGCAGGGTGCTGTGCCGCGGGCGCTGGGTTAAGTCGAGGGTGCAGTGCCGCAGGCACTGGCTTCACTGGAGGCTGTAGTGCCGCGGACACTGTGTTCACTGGAGGCTGCAGTGCCGTGGGCACTGGTTTTATTGAAGGGTGCAGTGCCGCGGGCCCTGGGTTCACTGGAGGCTGCAGTGCTGGGAGCACTGTGTTCACTGGATGGTGCAGTGCTGTGGGCACTGCGTTAAACAAGGGTGCAGTGCACCCAGCACTGGCTTCACTGGAGGGGGCAGTTCCGCGGGCTCTGGTTTCACTGGAGGCTGCAGTGCTGCGGACACTGGGTTCACTGGAGGGTGCAGTGTCGCGGGTACTGGCTTTCCTGGAGGGTGCAGTGCCACGGGCACTGGGTTCACTGGAGGGTGCAGTGCTGCGGGCACTGCGTTAACTGGAGGGTGCAGTGCACCCAGCACTGTCTTCACTTGAGGGTGCAGTTCCACGGACTCTGGTTTCACTGGAGGGTGCAGTGCCGCAGGCACTGGTCTCCCTGGCAGCTGCAATCCCGTGAGCACCAGGCTCACTGGAGGCTGCAGTGCCATGGGCACTGGGATCACTGGAGGCTGCAGTATAGTTGGAACTGGGTTCACTGCAGGGTGCAGTGCCACGTGCACTGGGTTCACTGCAGACTGCAGTGCACGGGTCACTGGGATAACTGGAGGCTGCCGTGCAGTGAGCACAGGTTTCACTGGAGGCTGCAATGCTGCGGGCACTGGTTTCACTGGAGGGTGCAGTGCGGCAGGCACTACCTTCACTGGAGGGTGCAGTGCCGCGGGCAGTGGGTTCACTGGAGGCTGCGATGCAGTGGGAACTGGGTTCACTGCAGGCTGCAGTGCCCTGGGCACTGGGTTCACTGCAGGATGCAGTGCCGCGGATACTTTTTTCCCTGGATGGTGCAGTGCCGCGGGCCCTGGGTTCAGTAGAGCGTGCAGTGCTGCGGTCTTTGGGTTCACTGGAGGCTACAGTGCCACGGGCACTGGGTTCACTGCAGGCTGCTGTGCCTCGGGCACTGGATTCAGTGCAGGCTTCAGTGTGGCGTGCCATGGGTTCACAGGGGGCTACAGTGCCACGGGAAGTAGGTTCACTGGATCCTTCATTGCTGTGGGCAATGGGTTCACTGCAGGCTTCAGTGCCGCGGGCACTGGGTTCACTGAAGGCTGCAGTGCCGCAGTACTGTGCTCCCTGGAGGCTGCAGTGCCGCGGGCACTGAGATCACTGGAGGCTGCAGTGAAGTCGGAACTGGGTTCACTGCAGGGTGCATTGCCCCGGGCACTGGGTTCACTGGAGTGTGCAGTGCCGCGGGCTCAGGGTTCAATGGAGGCTGCAGTGCTCTGGGAACTGAGTTCACTGCATGCTGCACTTTCACGGGAACTGGGTTCACTGGAGGCTCCAGTGCTGTGGACACTGGGTTCACTGGCGAGTGCAGTGCCATGGTCACTGGGTTCACTGGAGGGTGCAGTGCCACGAGCACTGGTTTCAGTAGAGGGTTCAGTGCCATGGGTTCTGGGTTCACTGGAGGCTGAAATGCTGTGGACACTGGGTTCACTGGAAAGTGCAGTGCCGTGGGCACTGTTGTCCCTGGAGGCTCCAGTGCTGCGGTCACTGAGGTCACTGGAGGCTCCACTGCCGCGGTCACTGGGGCCTCCTGTGCCCCAGTTCCGCTGGCACTGGAGCCTGGATGGGCTGCTTGGGATTCTGTGTCTCCCTCTCTGTTTTTCCCCCGGAGGTCTCTGGTTTGAGCACAGAGCTGGAGGCTGCATGGGATTGTGTGTCTCCCTCTGTCTCTGTCCTTCCCCAGGAGTTTCTGTGCTGAGACCACAGAGCCTGGAGGCTGCTTGGAATTTTGTGTCTCCCTCTCTCTCTGTCCTTCCCCTCCTGTTCCTTCAGGCACTGGGATTGCCGACTTTAGGCTCTGGGAGTGACTTTGACTTCAGTCACTGGGAGTGAGTTTGGGAGTGTTCCGTCAGTGGAGGTGACTTCGAGAGGGTCTTCCGTCACTGTGTGTGAATTCGCAAGGGACTTCCGTCACTGGGAGTGACTTCAGTCATTGGGGGTGACTGACTTCAGTCACTGGGCATGCCCTCAGGCCCTGGACATGACTCTGTCTTCATGCAGGGGGCTAGACTTCAGGCACAGGGTGAGAATTCAGGCTTGGTGCAAGCCTTCAGGCATGGGGCGTGCCTTCAGGCAAGGGGCATGCCTGCAGGCACTGGGCGGGGCTTCATGCTTGTGGCAAGGCTTCAGGCACGGGGCTTTCCTTCAGGCACGGGCCTAGCCTGCAGGCAAGGGGCCTGAGTACAGGCACCTGGAGCTGTTTCAGGCAAGAGGCATGCCTTCAGGAACAGGGAGCGGCTTCAGGCACAGGGAGCGTTTTCAAGCACGGGGCGCACCTTCAACCATGGAGCTTGTCTTCAGGCCCTGGGAGCACCTTCAGGTACAGTGAGCGGCTTCATGCACAGGGTGCCACTTCAGGCACGGGGAGCCTCTGTGCTCTTCAGGCACAGGGCGTGCCCTCAGGCACTGGGCTCGCCCTCAGGCACAGGGCACACTCAGGCAAAGGGTGTGCCCTCACCCATGGGGTGCGCACTCAGAGAGTGCTTGTGCCTTCAGGCAAAGGGAATGCCTTCAGGAACGGGGAGTGCATTCAGACAGGGGGAGTGCCTTCAGGCATGGCGAGTGGCTTCAGCAACTGGAGGCTCTGTTCTGCGAGCACTGGGGCCTGGAGGCTCGGTGTTGTGAGCACTGGGGCCTGGAGCCTTGGTATGAGAGCACCGGGGCCTGGAGGGGCTGCTTGGGATTCTGTGCCTCCCTCTCTGTCCTTCCCCAGGAGTATCTGTGGTGAGAGCACAGAGCCTGTGGGCTGCATGGGGTTCTGTGTCTCCTTCTGTCTCTGTCCTTCCCCGGGAGTTTCCATGCTGAGACCACAGAGCCTGGAGGCTGCTTGGAATTCTGTGTCTTGCTCTCTCTGTCCTTCCCCTGCAATTTCTTCAGGCACTGGGAGTGCCGACTTCAGGCACTGGCAGTGAAGACTTCAGGCACTGGTAGTGACGACTGCAGTCACTAGGAGTAACTTCAGACACTGAGTGTGACTTTGACTTCAGTCACCGTGAGTGACTATGACATCAGCCACTGGGAGTGGCTTTGATTTCAGTCCCTGGGAGTGACTTCAGTCCCTGGGAGTGACTTCGGGAGTGACTTCCATCACTGGGAGAGGGGCTTCGAGAGGGACTTCCGTCACTGGGAGTGAATTCACAAATGACTTCCATCACTGGGAGTGACATCGGGAGTGACTTCTGTCACGGGGAATGACTTTGGGAGTGACTTCATGTACTGGGCATGACTCAGTCATTGGGGGTGACTGACTTCAGTCACTGGGCATGCCCTCAGGCACTGGGCATGCCTGTGCCATTCAGACATGGGGCAAGCCTTCAGGCATTGGGCGTCCCTTCAGGCACTGGGCGGGGCTTCATGCACGGGGCTTGCCTTCAGGCAAGGGGCTTGATTACAGGCACATGGGAGGTGTTTCAGCCAAGAGGCATGCCTTCAGGCACAGGGAGCGGCTTCAGGCACACGGAGCGTTTTCAGGAACGCGGTGCACCTTCCACAATGGGGCTTGTCTTCAGGCACTGGGAGCCCCTTCAGGAACAGTGAGTGGTTTCATGCACAGGGCGCGACTTCAGGCATAGGGAGTTCTGTTCTCTAGAGGCACAGGGCGCGCCATCAGGCACAGGGCGCCCTCAGCACGGGGTGCACCGTCAGGCATGGGGCGCGCCTTCAGGGAGTGCCTGTGCCCTTGAGTCAAGTGGAGTGTTTTCTGGCATGAGGCTTGCCTTCAGGCATGTGGAGCATCTTCAGGCATGGGGCGTGTCTTCAGGCACAGGGAGCTCCTGTGCCATTCACATAAGGAGAGCACGTGTGCCTTTCAACAAGGGATGCCCCATCATGCACAGGACGTTCATTGAGACTCACAGCATGCCCTCAGGCATGGGGTGCACCCTCAGAGAGTACCTCTGCCTTTCAGGCAAAGAGAGTGCCTTCAGGCACGGGGAGTGCCTTCTGGCACTGGTAGTGCCTTCAGGCATGGTGAGTGGCTTCAGGAAGTGGAGGCTCTGTGCAGCGAGCACAGGGCCTGGAGGCTTCATGGGATTCTGTCTCCCTCTCTCTCTGTCCTTCCCCGGGAGGCTCTGTGCTGAGACCACAGAGCCTGGAGGCTGCTTGGAATTCTGTGTCTCCTTTTCTCTGTGTCCTTCCCCTGCAGTTCCTTCACGCACTGGGAGTGCCGACTTCAGTCACTGGGAGTGACGACTGCAGTCACTAGGAGTAACTGCAGACACTGAGTGTGACTTTGACTTCAGTCACTGTGAGTGACTATGACATCAGCCACAGGGAGTGACTTTGGCTTCAGTCACTGGGAGTGACGTCGGGAGTGACTTCGAGAGGGACTACTGTCACTGGGTGTGACTTCGCAAGGGACTTCCGTTCCTGGGAATGACTTTGCCAGTGACTTCCGTCATGGGGAGTGACTTCGGGAGAGACTTCCCTCTCTGGGAGTGACTTTGGGAGTAACTTTATTTACTGGGAGTGACTTTGACTTTAGTCACTGGGAGTGACTATGACATCAGTCACTGGGAATGACTTTGACTTCAGTCACTGGGAGTGACTTCAGTCACTGGGAGTGATTTCGAGAGGGGCTTCCGTCACTGGGTGACTTTGGGCGTGACTTCTGTCACTGGGAGTGACATCTGGAGTGACTTCTGTCACTGGCAGTCACTTCGGGAGTGACTTTCATCACTGGGAGTGACTTTGGGTGTGACTTCCTTCACTGGGAGTGACTTTGTCTTCAGTCACTGGGAGTGACTTTGACTTCATTCCCTGGGAGTGACTTTGGGAGTGACTTCATTCACTGGGCATGACTTCAGACATTGGGAGTGACTGACTTCAGTCACTGGGTATGCCCTCAGGCACTGGGCATGCCTAACCCTTCAGGCATGGGGCGAGCCTTCAGGCAGGGGGAGCCTTCAGGCAAGGGGCGAGCCTTCAGGCAAGGGGCAAGCCTGCAGGCATTGGACCTGCCTTCAGGCATGGGACATGGCTTCATGCTCGGGGCATGGCTTTAGGCAAGGGGCTTGCCTTCAGGCACGGAGCTTGTCTTCAGGCACGGGGAGCGTCTTCAGGTATGGGGAGCGGCTTCAGGCATGGGGCGTGCTTTCAGGTACTGGGAGCGTCTGTGCCCTTCAGGACACTTTCCGTGGAAAGTAACGCTGTACCACTTCTGGCCCCACATGTGTGTGGTCATATCAGATTTAGGAATTTTGTCCTCATCGAGAGAGAGTCTTAGCTAGTGTTTGGGTTTGGGCCAGGGACTTAGATAGGGCTGAATGGACAGGAGACCTGTGATCACCCTGGAAGGGTGAAGTGAGCGCCCATGCACTAATGCGTGTAAGGTTTAGGATTATGGTAAGAGTTGGTATGAACTTTAGGTGGAGGGGTATGGTGCGGGTCAAGGTTACTGTTAGGTTTAGGTCCCAGGAGGTTCTAGGCGGTGAACCCCTAGCAGTGCAGTGGTCTCCACATAGGGTTGAATGGAGACTGCATGAAAGCCTCTAGTTCAGGCTTCGTCTTTCCATGCCAGAGCCAGCCTCCTGTGTGTGCCACTCTTCAGTTGGGCCTCAGCACCCTCCTTGTGCAACTCCATGCCGGCAGTGGAATTGATATGATGATGTTCCAATTCCATACCGAATAATACTTCAGGGGTCTGGGCCCTATGGGCGTGGTGTTCTCAGAATTCGGAACTTGATCCCCATTGGGAGAGAGCCATCACTAGGGTTAGGGTATGTTCCAGCAACATAAGCACGGCTGAAGCGACACCATTCCCTTGAGCTACATGGAGGGCTGAATAGGGCGCATGCACAGGTGCAGGTCAGATGTAGGGTTACGGTTAGAGTTGGTGAGGTTGGTGTCTATAGTTATGTTCATTATTGGGTTTGGGGTTAAGTCCTAGGTGGCTCCAAGCGATAAACCAACAGCAATGCAGTGAGCTTCCTGGAGGGCTCAATGAAGGGCATATTGCAGGTTGTCCGTCATGCTTAGTCTTTGTTTGCCAGGGCAAGCCTCCATCGTGGGCCATTCTTTGATTGAGCCTCAGCAACCACTTCTGCAGCAACATCTGGGCTTTGGATATTACATGGTGATATTCCACATTCCACGCCGAGTAATACTCCTCCTCCTCTGGACTCCATATGTGTGGTATCCTCAGACTAAAGAATTGGGTCACCATCAGTAAAGAGCCTTAGTTTGAGTTAGGGTTTCCTTCAGGGCCATAAGCAGCACTGAAGCAACAATACTCACATTATCTACATGGGGTGTTGGATGAGGGACCATGCGCACGTGAGGGTCTGGTG